CATTTTTTCTACTGATGGCAAAAATGACGAGGGATTCCAGATTACGTTTAGGACTGGTTTATTCCCTCTTCGACTGGGGAAAAAAAACGTATATATATATAACACTCACACAAAGTTTGCATAGATAGATAGATAGATAGATGGATAGATCTATCTAAAAATTTATTTATTTATTATAATTTTAGTAAAAATGTATAGTCTCAAAAAAATAAATCTCTCAAAAAAGTTATCACAACAACTCCAGTTGTCTCAACTTTGAAAGACAAGTCTTTGAAAGACAAAGTTGTTTTCTCTTGGTCTGAACGTCAAGCGTAATACATAAATTGCTGCATCAAGGATGACCTTTTTTTTTTTACTTTAATACTTTTTTTTTTTTAATAGGAATGTATACATATTTTTTTTTAAATCACTTCTTTTTTTTTTACAGTGGGGCCAGTGAAAATGCTAGCAAATAACTAAAGTCCAAATGCTTAGCACTGCTTTGTGCTGACAGCAGGAGAACACAGAGGAAACACTGAGTACACATTGTGCACACAGAGGAAACCTGATATTCCTGTTCCCAGCAGAGCACAGGCACCACACGAACACTCACAGATTCACTCACTGCTCACACAAATAAACACAACACACACCTTTTTTCCTGGTGTTACTTGGGCGTTTCTGAGATGAATGCTCAAATCAAATATTTACAGCATACAGGACGTACCCCAATGATAATGTACCTCCAACTGTACTGCATTTTTTCTACTGATGGCAAAAATGACGAGGGATTCCAGATTACGTTTAGGACTGGTTTATTCCCTCTTCGACTGGGGAAAAAAAACGTATATATATATAACACTCACACAAAGTTTGCATAGATAGATAGATAGATAGATGGATAGATCTATCTAAAAATTTATTTATTTATTATAATTTTAGTAAAAATGTATAGTCTCAAAAAAATAAATCTCTCAAAAAAGTTATCACAACAACTCCAGTTGTCTCAACTTTGAAAGACAAGTCTTTGAAAGACAAAGTTGTTTTCTCTTGGTCTGAACGTCAAGCGTAATACATAAATTGCTGCATCAAGGATGACCTTTTTTTTTTTACTTTAATCAAGCACTCTAAAATAGCTGTCAGTCAGTGCTAGAACATTTCCACGAAAGTGTCTGATATTTGAGGACGCAACAACTTTATAACCACAGACGCATGTGGTTAATTTCATAACCAGCAAACCCAAGGGACCAAGATGTCTGCATGCTCATAGAATCATGTTGATTTTTTCTCATAAGCAAAGTCAAGACTACAAGAAAACAACTTATGTTAAATTGAGATCGCAAAAAAATAAGGCAAGAATGCACAGCCTCTTTTCCATAATATCTATATATCTATTATACTCATAGTTACACCATTAGTTGTAGCACAGTATGCTTGCAGAGAAAACTGTGACAGAGCAGTTTAACAAGTATCACTCATAAGCATGCAGGTCTGAAACTCATTCAGACAGACACTTTGTGTTCAGGCTGAGCATTTGACAGTCATGCAGCACCATGTGCAAACAGCTCGCATCTTCCACAACAATCCCAGTGTGTGTCTAGGAAACGGTCACTCTACTGAGCCTTTTCAAAACAGCTTACAGCCGCGGCCCGGGCCACGGCCGGCACACGTGTGAAACGTTCATTCTCACGCACGCTAATGCACACAAGCTCGCAGGCCTGGCCCAGACACACTCTCTCAGAGTCTCAGCCAGAGTGCATTGGTTCCCATACGCAGAGGGGGGCATGTGTGTGTGCGCAGCGACCCTCCCAGTCAGCTGGACTTCAGCACGTTTACTGGAGCAGCACACCTGCGTCCTAACAGCTAAGAGACACATTGTTCTACCCGTCTCCTTTCAGGATTGTCACTGAATTATAAAGCTTATGTACAGTCTGTCCTACACAGTCATTACTATAAAACAGCATATATTATATCAAATGTGGGGAACAGAAAAAGTTTTTCCTGCAAGATCTTCCTTCTTTAAAAACTGTATGACCAGTAAGACAATTAACCTGACAATATTTAGATATTTTTTACATGCCAGCTTGTTGCAAATTTTGCTAGTCCTGTGATTTAAATTTAAAAGGTGTTTAAATATCAATATTAACATTAAATATTATATATTATATTAAATATTATAAATTCATTTATAAAATCTAAAAAAAGTATCGTATAAAACATTAAAAGAAGGCTATTTTTGTGAGTGTGGAATGGATCATGGTTTCATATTTTGAAAATATAAAAATAAAAGCTAATTCTAAATGTCAATAAAAACTGCAATAGTATATAATTAATATTAAGCACCGAAAAACCCATATTGACTAAAAGGTTAAAATAATTGATCATATATCTTACAATTTATATCAATAAATAAAGCAACTGCAATAATAGATCAAATAACATATATTGTAGAACTATTAAATGAATGCTTATTTACTGTAGGCTGAGAGGTTCATAACTATGCGTGTGGGTTTAATAATGAATGCCTGGTGTTACGTGCGTTCTTCAGCATCAGTTCACATTGTTCAACAAGTGATCTCATCCTCACGCTACACTTATTATCATCATCGCACTGAATCAGCGTTATGTCTCCTCTGAGGAATATTCTTGTCACATGAACGCATCATTTAATGATGTAATGCTGAAGTCATATCTATTGTAGTTATGGGCATCATCACCCATATGATCTGCACCACCTGAATGTGAAAAGAAATATCATATTGCTTCATCATAGCTCTAAGCCCACACCGCTGACCTCACTCAAATATAACGATGATTGCAGCCCGTGTCATTATCTTAATCATCTTCATCATTATCACCATCACCAGAATAGAAGCACACAGCATGTACTCAGTCACTCTGTTTGCACCACTGGGAGAAATTCACAGCTGTCATCATCAAGCTCTGCGTTTTCTCTGAATATCTGACTATCGCAGGGGCCAAACAACACGGCATAATGTCCCCACGCTGATCCCAGTTATTTATTTTCATCAGGCGCTCAGCTTGTTCTGTGCCAGAACTTGTGCGAGTCCATCCCCGTCGCAGCTGAGGGCAAAAGCTGCGAGATCAGTGGAGAAATGAACCCACAGGAGCGGTGAGTCAGATCTGAGTCAAGCCCTGCTCCCCGCACACTCAGTCACGATGCTGCTGATCATATCAGACTTGCCAGCTGACCTTCTGAGGGTGTCATACGAGGAGACTTGGGTGTTTCTTATATGGGCACTTTTGGTCCTGAGGACATTGAAGAGGAAGAAATTATCAAAAACGCTTTTCATTTTTCTCATTTTCATCTCATTTTTTAAATAGTCACCTTACAAGTGGATATACATGTCACAGTGATTTTATACATAAAATGATATAATTTACACAAAAATAAAATGATATTTTCAGACTTTTTTGCATAATTTGATATGCACAATTAAAATAATATTACACAGACACACACTTATATTACATTATATATTACACACACACACACACACATACATTTATTTTAGAAGATTAATCTTACATTATTATTAAAATATTGTACATTAAGAAAATAAATAATATGCAACCATAATTTAAAAAAATATATTATTCGTTTGAAAAATATTAATTTTTTATTTTATTTTATTACCATAGTTTAAAAGGTAAATAATTCATATATTAAATTAAATCAATTAATAAATACTTTTTAATAACATTTTTCCATATGTTAAGATTTAAAAGTCTTGGACAAGGATAAAACAAATCACTGAAATGTGAATTTATTCATTTTTATTAATTTTATATCAGTTAAAAATACAATTAATTCATTTATTAAAGTAAATTCAATCAATTCAAATACTAAACACATAATAACAATTTTCCATAGGTTAAGATTAAAAGTCTTTGGAAAATATAAATTAAAAAACAAATCATTGCAATGTGAATTTATCCATATTTATTAATTTAATATCAATTAAAAATAAAATTAATTAATATATTAAAGTTAATTAAAATCAAATAATAAACACATAAAAAAAAATTATTTTGCGTGAACATTTGGGCGGCGTTATGCAAATCTTCCCACGTAGACATTTGGGGGCATGTTAGAACGAGCCGTTGTAGGTAGGCGTGGTTGACTCTTAACTTTATAAAGAATATCTCTTTGGATTTGAGACTTTAGTCTTTGCAACTTTACAGATCTTCTTTATGCACCAAGAGCTTGTAACACTCTAAATTCAGCTTGTGAATTTATTCGTTTTTACTAATTTAATACAAATTAAAAATCAAATTAATTCATTTCTTGAAATAAAGTCATTAAAATAAAAAATTAAATATTAATTAAAAAAAAAAAGATTAAAAGTTCAAAATAAAACTATAATCAAAATAAAAAAAGGCTTTTGAAAATTATTAAAATCAAATGATAACATTGTGTAAAAAAAATTGTGTGACATAGCAAAAAGAATAATGTTCTTTGGGACACAAAAGTGCCTTTAGTTGGAGAAACACCCAGTTACACTCACGCTGGAATTTCTACTGACTTTTGTCACAAAAACACTACGGACCACATGACAGTTTTAGAGAAAGAGTGGGAGGGCAGCAATGAAGAAGGAGAGTAACACAGGAATTTAAAGAATCTGACTTGTTCGTGTCATAAATACGCATCCGTGCCAAGAATTCAGGGAATCAGGCAAAAGGCAGTGAGAATGGAGACTGGGATCTGCCCACAAAGCTGAGATCAGTTGTGTTGTGAGCAGCTGCCCTGTGCTTGACCCCAGAGGTTCACATGCTGTAAACTGGGCAGGACAATGGGAGGACTTCATTAGCGCAATTGTTATCATGGCGTCAAGCCACACTTTTTTCTGAGAAGAATGACCGTAAAAAAAGACTGCATGTGTGAATGAAGAAATAGTGATATACAGTGAGATATGGAGGAAGAGTTGACTAAGAGTGCAAGTTTAGGTCAGTAAATATGTGTGTGTATAAAGATTGACTGTAAGCACAGCATTACTCACAGTGCTCTGGGCTGCAGCTGGGACTGCTCCACTTCACTGCTTTGGTTGTCTCAGCAACTCAGTGCACGGCACGGGCACGCAGAGGGCACAATGCCAGGTAAAGGGGGGGATGTTGGCATCGGCCTGTGGTTCTTCCAGCTGGCACTGCCAGGAACTCGGATACCCTGCACAGAATAGCCAACTTTATTCAAACACCATCTTACACTTGTGCTAAATCTGCGTAGATGTCATTACCGGACTTACAGTACAAAATACATTCCTCAAACATTTCTTTGAATGTTTCTTTTAAACCCTATATTTATTAACTTTATGCTTTTTTTTTAAGGTTAAAATATGAACACCTCCCATATACTTACATGCAGTAAGCCTATATACACTATAACATTTCCTTGCTTAACAAAAACATCTTAAACTAGCAAAGACTGGTTTGCTGGTCTTATCTGGTCTCCCAGTCTGGCCAGATTGCCATTATTGCTGGTATTAGAAGGGGTTTTGTCACTTTTCCGTTGGTCAGGCTGGTCTGTTGGATGGTTTTTAGAGGTTATTTTTTGCACATTTCAGCTAGTCAAACTGAGAGACCAGATGGCTGTCAACTAAACTAGCTGAAGTCAGGATGGGAGAACGGTTTAAACCAGCTAAGACCAGCTTGGCAAGGCTGAAACCCCATCTTAAACCAGTTTAGACCAACAACAAACCATCTTAGTCTGGGTTAAACACATTAAGTTAGAAATGGTATTTCCTACAGAAAACAGAAGTCTAGTTTAGGGTGGAATTTATAATAGACTTAACCTATATTAATGCATTTTAGTAATATATTCAGCTATTTAACAGAGTATGTAGCAAATCAGCAATATGTTCAAAAGAAAAACAAGCAAAAATTAGCAATGATTCGATAAAGAAGCAATTTCAGCTAGTCAGGCTGAAAAAACAGCTGGCTAACCAACTAAACTAGGGTGGAAGAACAACTTAAACCAGCTAAAACCAGCTTAGCAAGGCTGAGAGACCATCTTAAACCAGATTAGACCAACAAATCATCTTAGTCTGGGTTAAACTGCTTAAATAGGGTAAATTAGAACCAGTATTTCCTACAGAAAACACAAGTCTAGTTTAGGGAGATATTTAAAAAACAAAAACAAGCAAAAACCATCAAAGACGGAAGTCTGCTTATCATGTTACCATAGCAGTCTTGATTTATGGAGCAATCTGCTTGACTGAACAACAGCTCTTTGTCCCTGTGCGCTCTAATGTTCAATCTGATGTGTCTTGACAGCGACTCTCTCCTGCCCTCTATTGGTCGATTTGAAGTATTACAACGGTAAACAAAGCAGATCTGTGGCCCAGTTTTCATGACCTTGTATTTGATTAAGTATAGTTTTCCAAAAGGTTGACTTTATCAGGAAACACGCGGAAAGATTCGTCACATTAGTCTGGCCAAATGAATGACAGAAACTTAATCACAACATGACAGAAAATATACTAAAAATCGACGCATGCTCATTACTTAATTTGTTTGTGTTGCTAACTCTGCGTATCAAGTAAACAAAATCGAGCACATAAGAATGAATTGTAAGGTCCTACCTATTTAGGCCTATATTAAACCTGAAGTGAAATATGGCCACGTGGTTATAGAGTTGAACTTGCGTCGACCTTATAAATTTGGGGCACCTTGCAGTCCAGATGGGATGAGAAATCCAGTCACATGAAAGCTGTTCATAACAGCTTATTAAACAGCAGTCTTCATAACAGATTAAGGAAAGCAGCCAGTTTGACCTCGCCAAATAGTCACTAGTCAACCTAATTTAAGGTTGACTTGACTAGTTAGCAGTCGCGGTCCACTAGGTGGCCTCAGTTAACTTCAACATATATACAACAAAAACACAACCTTTTGGTAACCTTTATTAAACTTTTCAGGTAACAAAAAGGCATTATCGTATCACAAATATAGGATAATATATTATTAAATTACTACAAATATATAAAAATCTATTAGTTTTAATGCACTACTGTTTTAGCTAGAAATAGGTAAAAAGTTTAAAAATAAAACTTTCAAATAATGTTTAAATGCCACAAAACTTGGAGCAACTTTAATCTACATTTGTGTAAATAAAACTAATAATAATTAATAATTATTATAAAAACTAATAATCAATACCTATAATCAAAATATTATTACACAAAAAATGCAGCCTTGTTGATGGTGAAAGCAACATTGGGTTTCTGCCCAGGACAAAGAAAACATACATTTATGACGTGTATGTGTATATTGAATTTTAGTTAATTTAGTTTGTAAACCGTTAATGCCATTTTACTGGTACAGGCACATAAGAGTATAACTCCCTTGTCATTAGATCAGCTGTTTGTTATCACATTATGTACCCACTGAAAAAGGAGAAGAGCTCACTAAAGTGTACTCCAGGGCAATGCATCCATATTTAGCACCGATCACAGTTTGAACTGCATTATGATGACCCAACAGAAGCAATAGAATAGGCTCCTTGTGGTGGTTGATCTTCATCTTTAATAGGAGTATCAGAAAAGGGGAAACCACACATATCCTGAAGCTGCCACAATCGTGCTGCACTGAAAGCATATCAGTGTAAATGGCAACGGGACTGCAGCCAAAGAGCAATGTGAGAGGGAAAACAAACAGCTCAGACGACTGATCTGATGACGAATTGGCTAATCTGGCGGTTTCAATAGTTTAATGAAAGTAAAACTGCATATTCTGATAGAACATCTTGACTTGATGTTTAGTTTTACAACTTTTGGTGATCCTGCAGTTTAACTGGCAGCAATACCAAGGTCATGGGTTTGAAGGGTTATTATAGGTTTTTTCCATTTTCAATATTACTTTAATTTTAGTTAGCTTTAATGGTGCTTAAAAAAATTTTTTTTTTCTGTGCAGTGTTGTTTTAGGTTTATCAGAAACTGCTCATTTTAATTTTCAAACTACCTCAATACTTGCTGACAATGAAATGTAATATCACTATGCATTTATTATGCAGGTATGGAATCAGTAAACTAAGCATATACCTTACATTTGAGAACCAATTCCTAACATTTCGGAACATTCTTCTTGGGGTTTTATTTTTCTAACCATAAACTAAAGTTTCTGCTTTGAATAAATGAATGCATATAAATGTTGTACAACAGTATTAGCAGCTCAGAATATAATAAATACATTTTAAATTGAAGTGCAAAACTACACTGAAAAAGTTGTTGAAGGATTTACTTTTACTCAGAAATTGCTTGTAAATTTCACAATTACAAAGTACAAGCAAGTGATTTAAACAGGCTCCTGCATCAGCAGCACCACACACATGCTTTGTGTTAAGGTCCTTGCACAATGAGTCCGAAATTTTCATATGCATTTATTTTATTTATTTTTTTTCGTATTCATCATCCTTTCCTAAATGCTTGCTACAGATGCGAAAACGCAGAGAATCGAACCTGGTCCGAATTTTTTATGATGGACGAAAGTTTCGGAGGCAGTGTGTAAACGTGATTGGCACAACGTGAGGTCGTACTTATTTTTTAAATGCGAAAATTTCGCATGGACTATTTTAATGATGCCTTTACTACCTTTCTGGGCCTTGAACGTGTCAGTTGTGTTGTTGTCTATGCAGGGTCAGAAAGCTCTCGGATTTCATCAAAAATATCTTAATTTGTGTTCCGAAGATGAACACAGATCTTACGGGTTTGGAACGACATGAGGGTGAGTAATTAATGACAGAATTTTCATTTTTGGGTGAACTGTCCCTTTAAGGTGATGATCACAGGTTATTTTGTGAACCTTAATCAACAAGGCACAGGGTCTTCTGTGTACTCTTGATGATCCATGAAAACCATCCATGCCTGTCCTGAGGCCTGGGTGTTAAACATGTCCTGTAAAGCTTTAAAATCTGTCAAAGTAAGGCAAACATTATAAATCCAGTGTATGCCTGGGGAAATGTGAGCAAACGCATATAAACCTGCTGAGAAAGTTAAGCTTTTCCATCTTTTCCTTCCTCTCAACCACTCAACAATATTTAAATAAAGCAAGTATGTTAACTTTCCTACAAATGCTAAGATCTCATGTTGCTGTTCTACAAACTGGTGACAGGTCTTCTCCTCAGACGGCCCTCCATGGAGACATTAAAGATGAAATGTTTACATATTTTACATATTCACTAAATCATAAAAAATCTCATGCTTCAGCAAAAAAATGGGTTTCTTAAATAAAACTATTTACAAAGTAAACACAACATATGGAGAGCTGTCATGCAGTAAACATATCTACACCCAGTCCTTTCATTCAATACTTCACTTAAACACACCACTGATCTTGGATCAGAGATATAGGGGTGAATGATACACTGGGGACTCAAGAAAGACAAAACAAATACCTTTCTGTGCCCCACTGACCATGGCAGAGTCTTAGATGGAGACAAACTGTCAGATCAAGGCAGAAACTCAAATCCAGTCATTTCCTGAACTGTCAAGGACCACTGAAGTTCATTCAAGTGAGCTGTTCATGTACTAAATACATATGACAGCCCCACACACAAACATGAGCATTACAGTCAGATCACCTAAAGTCAAGTTTCCCTATTTGTAGGTGCTCTCATGTGAGGGAAGGATATGCCACATTACTGTACATAACAGTCAACAACCATGTCCTATAAAAACATATTAATGTAATAATATAAAATTATTTTAATATATTTTTAGTTATATATTTTCATTTGTAATGTGTATTTTAAGATTTTAATCTGTAATTACAGTATATGACCTGCATGAACAATGCATTTCTTCGATTCTAGAATGTTTTTTTTTTTTTTAAACACACACGCACAGTTTGCTGAATTGTGCACTGTAAATCCAAAGCTTTTTGTCAGTACCATAAGGAAATTTGCCAATATTTACATCAGTAACAAAACCAGACAAATATAGATTTAAACACACTTAAAATAAATAGTTAATCCAAAATTAACATGAAAGGCTGAAAATGTTCCTTCAGAACATACAAGATGTAGATGAATTTGATTGGAACACATTTGTAGAAATTTAGCTTTACATCATTTGCTCACCAATCGATCCTCTGCAGTGAATGGGTGCCATCAAAATGAGAGTCCAAACAGCTGATAAAACCATCATAATAATCCACAAGTATTCCACAGGACTACAGTGAAGTGAAAGCTGTGTCAATAAGAATCAAATCCATTTTAACTTTAAACCATTGCAGTCCTTACTTTCTCCAGTGAATTATGTTTTCATCAGCTCTTTGGACTCTCATTCTAACGGCACCCATTCACTACAGGGGATTCATTGGTGAGCATGTGCTAAATTTCTACAAATCTGTTTCATTGAGGAAAAAGTCATCTACATCTTGGATGGCCTGAGGTTTATTACATTTCAGCAAATTTTCATTTTTGGGTGAACTATTCTTTTAATTCATAAATGATGACTGATGATAAATGACCACACAATGACAACACAGTTTGTTTTAGCATGTTTCATGTGATGAAATAATGAAATTAAGAGTCAAATAAAAAGCTTTTTTCTGTGCTTAAAGTCTGTCTGCAAAGTAATCATTTATCAGTCTCTCTTTGGGCATCATGGATGACTCAAGGGATTTACAGAGTTCTTCAGTGCCACTTACAGGTTGTAAAAATAGCTTGCACCTGCAATTCAACTGAGACCTTTAGCTTAAAATAGGCAACAGAGCTAAAGGAAATAATTTGACGGCAAAGTGCAAGCACAGAGAGTCGACAGACTAGTGTTAGTTCAAAGATATATGGCTTTAAAAAGGGTAATTTGTCAAACAGACAAAGCAAATCAACTAAGCAGTTCAGGATTAATGATGAGCAGTTCCTCAGGTATTACCTTAAACTATCTTACAGTAATTTAAGAGTGTAAAATCTGGCTAAGGAAGATGTTAATGCAATGAACTGCTAAATGAAAATAATTCAAACTTTGCCTCTAATTCAAAGGATTGAAATAATGTTTATTCACATTCCTTTCAGAACACTTTCTCAATGAAAATCTTTTGATATAAAGTGAAGTATGAAACTATGAAAGTAAACTGAAGTATGAACTGCTAAAAATAGAAACTAGAAAGGTTTTTATCCCAATGTATTTATGACACAAGACACACTACTCGCCTAAAACAATGCAACCATTCACTGGTGAACAGGTCTTTGCAGTATACATTCTTAACCTGTTTCCAGAGTGCTTGAAACCATCAAGCTTTCAAAGCACTGAAGCACAAGAAACACAAAGAAGTGATTATATCAAATAACATGCAAAAATCTGTCACACTCATTAACAGTACAAAGTGTGCAGATTATGACCACCATGTAACTTTGGACTCATAGGTTAATCCATGCATTTCACGATTGGTTTCCTGGTTCCTAACAGAGAACAGCGTGTAGAATTTAGACACAACAAAATGCCTCATAGCTGTTTTTGGCTGGTCTTTTTAGGAATGAGATGCCGCGCCGGCTCTCAGACTCGGAACTGACCCCTGAACATAAGTGTCTACAGCAGTCTCTTGTACATCAACCCTGCAGGGGCAAAAGTCAAAAGGCAGCTTGTCCCTAATAAGAGAAGGCATCAGGGGTCCCAGAGACGTGACCTGGGTCATGGTTGAGTAATAAAATCTAACCATCTGTCTAACACCTATCACAGCAAGTAATGTAATGATAAATTGCAGAGAAGGCATTTAAAATGAGTTTAGATTGAGATAAGATTAAACATTTAAATCATTAACTCACGGCATTACTGGATTAGAAGATTATGTGTGCTAAATAAAGCTGGTCATTCATAAGAACACACAAAAACACAGATAAAATGGGATCCCAGGAAAAAAGTTTCCCAGGAAAATAATCTTCTATTATTATTTATGCATTTTTATTTAAGGCAAGGTACATTAATTAAATGTGCAATGTAGGCATTTGCTTACATTGCCAGAAAAGAAATCATTTTAGAGTTAAAGATTTTTGGATATCTCTTTTTATCACCCCATAGAATGAATGAATGAATGTCATTAACAGTACAAAGTGTGCAGATTATGACCACCATGTAACTTTGGACTCATAGGTTAATCCATGCATTTCACGATTGGTTTCCTGGTTCCTAACAGAGAACAGCGTGTAGAATTTAGACACAACAAAATGCCTCATAGCTGTTTTTGGCTGGTCTTTTTAGGAATGAGATGCCGCGCCGGCTCTCAGACTCGGAACTGACCCCTGAACATAAGTGTCTACAGCAGTCTCTTGTACATCAACCCTGCAGGGGCAAAAGTCAAAAGGCAGCTTGTCCCTAATAAGAGAAGGCATCAGGGGTCCCAGAGACGTGACCTGGGTCATGGTTGAGTAATAAAATCTAACCATCTGTCTAACACCTATCACAGCAAGTAATGTAATGATAAATTGCAGAGAAGGCATTTAAAATGAGTTTAGATTGAGATAAGATTAAACATTTAAATCATTAACTCACGGCATTACTGGATTAGAAGATTATGTGTGCTAAATAAAGCTGGTCATTCATAAGAACACACAAAAACACAGATAAAATGGGATCCCAGGAAAAAAGTTTCCCAGGAAAATAATCTTCTATTATTATTTATGCATTTTTATTTAAGGCAAGGTACATTAATTAAATGTGCAATGTAGGCATTTGCTTACATTGCCAGAAAAGAAATCATTTTAGAGTTAAAGATTTTTGGATATCTCTTATGAATGAATGAATGAATGAATGAATGAATGAATGCATGAATGAATGAATGCATGAATGAATGAATGAATGAATGAATGAATGAATGAAATACTGCCAATAGCCAGAAAAAAAATCACCATGTTTTTAGGAATAAAATGTACAAAATCAGGCGAATGCTCTTTGAACAAACCTTCTGAATACAGACTGGATGTTTGGCATATGTACTGTAAGTGCTAGTGATGTGAAGATTTTAAAGATATGTATTGTTTTTGAAATCTACAGATGAAAATATACGAAGTGTAATAAAATAAACACTTAAAAGTGTATTTTGGATTTTTTTTTTCTTTCCAATAGTCTGAAACAACCAGATAGCCCCAAATCACAAAATTGATTAATATAATATAATAATAATATTAATAATAATTATATATATATATATATATATA